AAAGACTCGAACACGTCCAGAGTGACTCGAACACGTCCAACAACTTCTAAACTAAACTTAAAAAATTCTCCCAAGTCGACATTTACTGTCAGAAAACGCGTCTCTTGAAGGACAAACTCTTTTGTCTTTTGTTACATTTTTCCCTGAAGTGACTCAGAATCCTTCAGAACCGACACCAGCGTTGTCGGAACCACTAAACCCGTCTGAACCAACAGAACACCGCCATGTCCAGATGACACCGTCTCACCGACCCAAACCCTTCAGACGTCTGAAGCGTCTCGCGGCGCTGAACTCGACCCGTGAAGCGAACCGTGGCGTCGGACCTCACAGCGGGTGAAAACGTGAGCGGGCTCTGAGCTAGAACATTGCGAGCGGCGCTGCAGTGAAGCGAAGGCGGGAGACGAGGATCTTCTTCCTGTTAACGCTCCGTCAGCCGCCTTCGCTCCGTCTCAGCCGGATTCATTAGAGGAGAGGGAAGGTCACCGCCGAGCCGAGCGGATAAAACCGTCCGCTGATTAGCAATTACAGCGGCGCTGCCACGCGTGTCACTTCCTGGACCCGGGCGCCATTAACGGCCGCATTAATAGAGTCCGGCCGCGAGACGGACGGGCCGGTCGGTGGCGGCGGGCGGCCGGCGCTGACCCTCGCCGCTCCGTCGCAGTAATTGGTGGCGACATAACGAGACGGAGGAGGGAGCGAAACGTCGGAATAATGGAGCCGAGACGTTCCTGATTTAATAACCGGAGGACGGGGAGCTGCTCGTGGGCCACAGAACAGAACCGGAGCAGCCCAAGACAAACAAACACCGGGTCTAACTGGACTTGATCCAATAAGACAACAACAAACAGAACCGGTTTAAAATGTTTTAGACGACCATTCTGACAGGCGTTCATTAACGTTCGAGCTGTGGACAGAGCTGAGAGTCTGGGCTTCACGTGTTCTGGTTCTGGACAGTCCGGTTCAATCAAACTGTCTGCTGTCAGCCAGTGTTTGGGCTGAAGTGATTCTGGTTGGTTCTCCTCCGTCTG